GCTGTGGGTCAGAATGGACTCCACGGCAGTGGGTGTGGTTTGGGCTTTGCTTCTGTGAAGATTGACAGCCTTGGAGACCCTGTGGGGCAGTTCCACTCTGCTACAGGTTTGCTGTGAGTTGGGATTCAACTAGTGACAGTGTGTAATTAAGTCAGAAAACTGTTTGTTTTTTTAGTCTGAAAGTAGTGGGGGGATAAACTGTAGGTATTTACAGCGAACATGGAGTCTTTACCGAGACCAAATGAAACATCAAGCCATTAAAATAGATAAATCAGGCGTTTCGAAGGAAGTCCATTGAACAAGCCATTCTGCACTTGGTGGTCAAGTTGTGTCTGATCATGGTCAGAACACGCAGTGGGAGGAGGAATGTAAGGATCGCCGTGTAGGCCGGAAGGAGGCGGCCAGCAAGCTCTCTCTTGTTCCTGGGGGTTGCAGTTCTCACCGGTGCCTGTGCACGGCCACTTCACCCGGCACGTCTGGAGAAGACAGGCTCTTAGGAAAGAGAGAGTGTCAGGGCCATGGGTCCACGACTCCAGTCTTCCTTGTGGGGGTACAGTGGACCAATTATAGAGAAAGACACTAGACTACAGCCTAGAAGACCCTGTGGGGCAGTTCCACTCTGTCATGTGGGGTCACTATGAGTCAGGCTTGGACTCTGTGGCACCCAACAATGACAGATGTATTCATCAACTGTAAGCAGTGACATGGAATCCCACCTTCACTTGGGTATCCTCTCCTGGCTGCTAAACTTTCATTTACTTCATATTTCCTCCACAAGTGATGTCTGAATTGCAAACAGAGAAGATACCTAGGGTCAACCTGAGGAGAATCAAAGTACCAGGGGTAGCACACAGCTGGGGATAGTTAACAAGAGTCCAGGATGGTATGGGATGTGTGGCTGATGCCTCCACGAACAACTGCCTCCTTCCGAGACCAGAAGAATTCAGCTACCAGGGACTGAATGTTTTCATCAAAGATTCTGAAAACTAAGCCTGGTCAAAAGGGGGAAAATGCAGAACAGAATTTCAAATTCTCATAGACGACAGACTTTTTGGAGCCATAGAAGCTGGATGAATTCCTGAAGCTGTTACCTTGAGATAATCTTTAAACCTTAAATCAAAAATATCCCCTGAAGTCTTCTTAAAACCAAACAGTAGTTAAGCTTAACTAGTAGAAATAGCATTATTCAGTCTTCAGAACTATCTGCATGGGATCAAAGTGATAACAGCAACTCGAAAGGTTTGATGGGAAGCTTGGGGTACACGAGTTTGTGTTACAGGGGAGGAACGGCTCCAGAAAGGAGGGTGAGGCTGGTTGCAGAACTCAGAATGCAGTCAGTGTCGCTGACCTGAACGTGGAGAAATGGTTGAGTTGCTGTATGTTCTGCTCTATTCTCAATGACAGCAACAAAATAACGTTGAAAAGCCAACGGGCAGCACAGGATGATGTGACACTGAGCTATGACTGGCGAGTCCACGGAGGAACTCGGGTTTGTTTAAAATGAACGCGACTGTTCTGCTAGTAAACTGCCCACGACTGGGACATTGTGTTGAGAGTCACGGATGTTACCAGGGCTGGAGTCTGACAGTCAATAGACTGAAAACTGATGCAAGACTGAAAAGCAAAAAACCACCAGGGGCCTAGTGTTTACGGAAAGGAGGCCCCTGCCATGGTGTCCAGGCAGAAGAGGGGACTTTGCCTCCTGAGTGAACTCATACCTGCTCCCTCTCTTCTCTCCCACAACCCCAAACCCAAACCAAATTCATTGCC